TGTATACACACACATACATGCATTCCAAAAATGGCTCGTATCCCCAAATACTTGTTGGTTGGGTCACTCGTAAGTCAAGGCACCATTCTAAAGTATTTTTACTTTTGCAGTTAAGTACCAGGAAAAACGCATCCTTTTACTATACATCTATATTTTTTTTACCTTGGTTTCTGGACTTCTACTTGTGCACAGAGTAAGAGTACTTCTGCAACTTCTGTTTCACACATGCACACACACGCGCCCAACATATTCAAGACGTGACATGTTTGGCGGCAATATCGGGTGTTGCCGCAGGCGCTGGGCGCGTTTGGGATGTTTGGTAGTAAACAGGCGCAAGCGATTGATCTTAACGGCTTGTCAAAAAGCGATTTACGTCAGCTTTGTCCAAATTGAAGGTGGCACAATGTTCCTGTTTGTTTGGGTTTTTTTTTTTTTTTTACTCTCCCCTTATTTTGGCTGAAAACGTTGTAATTTCCAACTTAACCGATGGCGGCATTTCAGTTACATAAAATAAAAGACCAAACAAGATTTTGCTCCGACATCATTAACATTGTTATTATTTTCAATGGCAGGATGCCGCTTTCCTACTGCAAATGATTTTGAGAAATTTAAAACAGGTGGATACTGTTTCTTTTGTGACCAATTATGTCAGATTTTGCATCCATCCATTTTCCGAACCGCTGGTCATATTGGCCAAAAATGACATAAGTTGGGGGCCACTCATTGGTGACGACACCGTATTGGATTTTTTTTTTCCTCAGTCAATAAATAAATAAATTAATTAATTAATAAATAATAATAATAAAAAAAATAATAAAAATACTCTGGTGCTATCACAAATAATTGTCAAACCTTAGCCGAAAAAAAAAAGAGCACATCTGGTCACTTAACCGTACCGACGCCAGCTATTGTCGCCATACTGTATGTTAAGAACAATAGGCAGTGGTCATTTTGGCCGGAGCGTAAACTTTGGAGCTCAGGCGATTGTGACTTACCAGGTCAACCTCTCCCATGCTCAGTTGGGCACGGCCCAGAGTCTGCCAGCCTTCCCACCACACGTTCCGCAGCTTCACCGCCGTTTCTGCCGCCTTGACGGCGGGGAAGACCTCCTGCAGTGTCGTCAGCACCTGCGGCCCAACACCAAGCGGGAAAACAAATCACGCCAAAGAATTCTTCAATGAAGCTTTTTTCCTGAATAGCTCCGTCTCGGTCAAATGACATGAAAGGGTTTGTTTAGTTTTGGTGCCACTGGAGAAAACTTTTGACTTTCGCCATCCGGAAGTACATTTTTTGTTGTGAGGTGAATTGCCGTAGACTTGACACATGTGATCGGCTGGATCGGATCATTTTATGCAAAATCGATGATCGGTTGTAATGTCGTAATTTGCCAATCAATCAATGACAACATTGAGTGGACCCACAAAATATGTAAAACAAAACATCATTCCCCCGCCATCTATTTTGCATGTACTGAATGTTTATCAGCATTTGTGGGAGACTTTTTAGGGTTTAAATATTTTTTCCCCAAATGCATTTCAAATAAAATGCGAATTCCGGCTCTTCATAGGCTGGGCTGGTTTATTGTTTTTTTAAGTTGCTCATCAGTGATCGGCTCCAAAATCATGATTGTGCAAAGCCTAGTGAATACAGGTCTGCTCGTTCTTGCCTGGGCCTTCATCTCATACAGCAGTGGGTCGTATGGAGTCAGCTGAATGGCTTCGTCCCACTTCTTAACAGCATCTCTGTGCCTGGGGAAAGGAAAAAGAAAAAAAAAAAGCACCAAACTTTAATGTCTTGTCTTTTTACACATGCGTGCCTGGTAGGATTGTGATTGTTGGGTTTGAGGAGGACTCTGAACGTTTTAGAATTTGCAACGAAAGCCATGTGTCTCTGCATGTATGTTTGACTTGTGTTATGTAAGCTAACAAAAGGGCCAAGTTTATTCAGTGACGCCTTGCATGATATCGCGTGTTATTGACAGATCAGTCTTGCATAATGTCATGTACACAATATACAATCCCCAACCGCCCATCTGTTTAATACACACAGGTAAGAGTTAAAGCAACCTTGGGACTTTGCAAATAACTAAAATGGCCACTTCAAAGCAAAATGGCAGACTTCGTGTGTTTTCATCAGCTTGGCTTTTGGAAACTTTTTTTGGTGTCTATTCATGGCAGACCTGCCAAACAACTTATTTCAGGGGCTGAATTTTCCAAAATGTCGTTAGCTTTTTTTTAAATTTGTTTCAATTGGACAAGATGCGTATGACAACTTGATCTTGAGTGACACAAAAAAATGGCCAAAATGGCTTCCTGTCTTCCAAAAGCCATTCGCCGCTGTCTTGTATCCTTCAAATTTGGCCAAGATGTGAATCGCTGTGTGCGAAGACAAACCGCAGCGTAGATCAGTGAAAACCGTTGGCCGAAGTGGCATAGCGAGAAAGACGAGGCAACGAGGAAGGAAATGGAAGTGTTGAAACTGTCAGCAAACCACCAGCGCACCATCGGAGGAAATGAAGCAATACGCGTGTGTGTTTACTTGGTATAGCCTGTGTCAAAGGTCCGCGCTAAAAACAGGTTACTGTGGACAAAGTTGACAGTGAGGACAAACAGGGCATCAAATACTACAACAAGTCAAAAGGTCCATCAGCACAATGTAAACAAGAGGGTCGTCAGCCCTTGTTTACCAACCACGAATGGACATTTTACCATTTTCCCACTTCAGGGGCCATTTCCGTTTCGAGTAGGGCGGAACAATTTTGCAATGTTTTTTCTCACCAATATTGCGATTGAACATGGAATTTTTTTTTTTTTTTTTTAGAAACTATTCCCGTTTGTTTTTTTAAACAACCACATGCAATAAATTAATAATTTATAACAATAAACAATATGAGACTCCTTAAACTTTTTAGTTTTTTTAGGTTTGACTTGCAATTAAAATATAGGCAAATGCTTGACGACCCGTGATATAGCGACGGGTCATAGACTTCAGTGCGTCAAAATAGTTCAAGGAGGTGAAAACGGTCGACCCATCCGACCGCACTCAGATCACATCTAAAACCCCGAGAGTGCCATTAACGGGTATCATTTCCATGTAAATGCGATTAGGAGGAGTCGCCCGTGGCAACAGCCAGCATTCGATGTCATGGAGTGCACAGGGAGCTATTGGCTGAGTAAATAGAATTCGGTTATCAAGGGTCCACTACCCCTGCTGCAAAGATCAGATAACAGTTCCCAAAAGAAATTATGTCATGTAGCTGTGAGGGGTCTTGAACTAGCAAAAACGGACTACATCTCGACGAGTTTGTTTGAGGGCACTTGGAAATGGGACGATAGTGGGTCATCTCATCAACATGTTTACCAAAATTCATGTTGTTAGGTCAAACTGGCTTTGGGCGCTGAGTTCAAGAATCATCAAACATGAGCGCCACCATCAAGCTATTTGTAGGGACCAAAACTCAAATACGTTTTAATTTTGTGTCACTAATGTGTCTAAGTAGATGTGCTTCAAATTTGGTAGCAATCACATCAAGTTTCTCGTACAAGTTGGTCTTTGAAATCCAAAATGATTGAATTACGGTGTGGCTTTTTAAAGTATAACCACAGAGAATACTATCTTTCCTATTAGAAACAAGTTGTAACATTTTTTGCAGATGTAATTCGTGGGTCTGAAAAGGATTAATGACATTTCCATTCGTATCAAGCGGCGAAGGATGACTTGAGATGCGAGCCTGGCCACGGAACGAATTTAATTGCTCGTAAGTTCAGGCACAACTGTCCCCCTTGTTTGGCTTATGGACGTTTTCCTTTGCGACGGCGCCTCCTACTCTGCCAGTCCACTTGGCCGTCCCCGTCACGCCGCTGCCGGTCTGCCGCCTCGCTGTCGTCCTTTTCCTCGAACTGCTGAGCCGCCGACTTGGACACCTTCTCGCCCGCTTTCCTCTTCCAGCCAAAGGACGCCATGTTGCTGGTGAGAGTCAGATTGTGGTCGGTTTAACAGCCAGAACTCCTCTTAACCCTACAGAAAATAGACAATTATTAAATATTTAGCCGCCTACACATGGCACGGCAATGTATATTGATAAACGTCAACACACACTATGGAAACACTCGCCAAACAAATGCACGAGTAATCATGACATCTAGTAAATATTCATGGGAGAGTCGGATGAAGCAGACGTCGACTAGTCATGTCTGGAGAAAGTTGTGGCGTAATCAAGAGGCGACCGCTGTTACGTTGAGGAAAATATTTTTTGTAATTTTTTTTGTTGCTTTATATATCTTTGGAGTGAGTGCTACAATTCCTTCTTATTTACTGAAATAAAAAAGACGCTTACCAATGAAGTCCTGACACTGCATGAAAATGTTGACAACGGAAATGGGACTTTGTTGGCACCATCTTGCGCAGTCTCCCTTCTGTTTCCAAATATCATCTCATGACATCCCACGGCCACCGTACTTTCTTGACGTTTTGGTTCTGTTTTTTATTTTATTTCATTTACCATTTTAAAATAACATTTATGTGGTAAAGCCAGGGTTTCGCGGAGATATGCAACATTGACTCGCATGTGGTCCCCACTACATTGTTCAAAGTTGGATAAAGATGAAAGAAAACGACGTTCATTTCTTTATTTCTATGTGATACAGGGGTTATTTGAAAGGTAAAGGCAACTGAAAGCTGTGATTCTGGGATTAAAAAAACAAACCGCAGAGACCATGGGAAAAAGATACTACTGCGACTACTGTGAGCGTTCCTTCCAGGACAACATGCACAACAGGAAAAAGCATCTTTTTGGCGTGCAGCACCAAAGAGCTAAAAAGGCCTGGTTTGATCATTTCAGAGGTAAGCTAAATCAGTAACTTGAACGATTTGGCCCAGTTGTCATTGCACTGCCTTTTCATCCATTTTATTGTCTTAAACTCAAATATTTTTTCCAGGCTATGCAGATATTTTAAAAGACGAACAGGCAAAGAAACCCTGCAGGAAGTTCCTCCAAAGAGGTAACAACAAAACGCCATTCTCACAGTCAGCGAAAGCGGCGCTGAAAATGTCTAAAATATGTTTGCATGTGAGTGATAAAACGTGTCATTTATATTTCAGGCATTTGCGATTTTGGCCCCAGCTGCAGGTTTTCTCACATGTCCGAGGCAGAGATGTTCAATTTGCGAAGGAAGATGCAAGGTAGGTTGCTCGCCACATGAGGGCGCTTTTGATTTTGGAAAAAAGAAAAACACGCTTATTCTATGCGCCCATCATATCTGTTCACTGTCAACAGTTCGTCCGTCTGTCTGTTCGTCCATCCATCTATTGTGTGTGTGTGTGTGTGTGTGTGTGTGTGTGTGTGTGTGTGTGTGTGTGTGTGTGTGTGTGTGTGTGTGTGTGCGTGCGTGCGTGCTTGCACGCTTGCAAACAATCTGTTTTAAAAATGTTATTTTTATCCAAATAAAATGACAAAAGAAAAATGACCAAGTGCTTGGCTATTCAAAATTTGTCCTGTCCTCTCATTGAAAGTGTAGCTAGTAAATATTTGTGCTTGTAGACAGAAGCACACATGATGAATTGACGCTTATTTTTCTCCCCTCGGCGAGCCAACGCAGTAAATTTGTGGGAGCGCAACACATTGTCTCTTGATGTATTTTTACCATAAAAGGAGACGTTTGAAGATTTGTTACTTGATTAGAAAAGCATGAGTAGACTCGCAGACCATGCGCTGCTTGTCAAATCAAAAGGACGTGAGACAAATACCGTCTAGACGTTTGTAAATAAGTGATGTCGCTGGCGCTTTGCCTTTTTAGTTGTCTAAAGCAGCGTGTCCCAACCTTTGTTGAGGCAAGGCACGTATTACTCAGTGGGAATTTTGAGCATGTTTAGTCGAACACTTGGCTGTGTTTCAGTTGTATGAATGGCAACAGGTCAAATCAGAGGTTAATTGTTTTAAAAAAAAAAACATTGCTAAAAAAATGTTGTGCTTTTTTGTTGGCTCAAATGGCTTGATGGAATTTCTGTTAATTTCACTCAGTATTTGTGGTAAATAAATAAATGGTAATTTCAACGAAGAGTGAGGTGGAATTGTACCATTACCCGCGGCGTGTTTGGGACTCAGGTCCAGACATCCGTAAATAAGTTATGACTCTGTCTCGCAGATGAGAGACGGCGCTTGGAGGGCTGGGAGGACCCGAGCGAGGCCGAGCCCAGCCTGGACGTGTGGCTGTCCACCAGGGAGAAGAGGAGAAGCGGCCGGGCCAGCAAAGGGTACGAACCACGCGCACGGCCGCCTGCGCACGCCTAATGGGCCCCGAGTTGAATTATTCATCTGCGCAGTCTGCAAGACGAGCGGGAGGAGGACCTGACGCAGAGCGACATCCCGCCGCAGATCTTCTCCATTCCGGATCTGCCACCCTCGCTGGTGCCGCCTCCTCCAGGTGGCTGGAAAATGGACAGCAATGCGAAATGGGGATGATTGATTGGATTATTGAGTTGACAATATTAGCTGGATTAAAATCATGCCATTTTTTTTTTTTTTTTTACATTTTACAACATTAAAAAATTACAAAAAATCTGCTGATTTTTGTCAATATTTCTATATACTGTAAAGTCATACAATGTGCTCCAATGTGATCTGCTTGGTAAATGGGAGACATTCAGTACAATTAATTTTTTCTTTGTGCTGATTGGGCGACGGGGCAACTTGTGCACGCCTACAAACTTCTTTTGACCAATCAGGGCAACGGATAAAAATGTCATCACATTGTGGATTTTAATTTTTTGTTTTTTTTTTACTTGGATGTCGTGCATTCAGACAGCATTTACATTACATCTGTGTACACTTGATATGGACAATTTAACACAAATAAGTCAGAACTAACACACACACACTCACACACACGTTTATATACTGTATTGCTGATAATTTTGCAATAGATCCAGCATTAAAACTACATTTTTTTTCAAAAGTGCTCCACACTTTTCACATTAAATACGACATTTTGTGACAAAAGGCACCTGACAGAAATTATACATCCACCTTTTTGAGGAACAATTTCAGACAAAAAAAAAATTAAAAATACACGTCGACATTCACAATATCTTTTGCTACAATCGCGATTATTTCTGTATGTACATTCACATCAAACCTGCTACTTTACATGATATGTCTTCATGAGGAGGTAATGGCGAATGGCATGTCACGTTCCACAATCTTCATCATCATATGTACACATATTTATTGCAAGTTGAAGTTCAAACTAAGACGGGGGAAAAACAAAAATAGATTCAAGTCTGAAAAGTGCATGATCGTTATATTACATAACAGCATGGAAAACCTTTGAGCGTATCCCTGATATCAAGCTTAAGGTCGATCCACTCGTACATTCTTTGCCCTCATTACTAATTAGCGCACAAGTGGTCCATCTGTGTTTCACTAGTAGCACGGAATTGTCTTACTAGTGCGAAAAAAAGAGGCGCTCAAGCTGGATATCAAGTATATCGCGTAAACAGCTTTCATGTCATCTAAATAAATGTGTTTCTGCAGTTTTTTTTTTTTAAATCTCCCGTCTTTACTTTTTTTTTTATTTGTTATAAAATAATCCGCCTCGGAGATACGGCGTCACTTTCTCCAGTAAGAAAATATAAGCGTGGCGTACGTGAAGTCATTTCCGTCCATGATATGTCAATAAATGATCGTTCACGAGTTCAAGTGATCCTTGTGGAGAAATGATCAGAACATCAAAGTTGTCTTTGATGTCGTTGCATAATTTGTCTCTCTCTCTCTCACACACACACACACACACACACACACACACACACACACACACACACACACACACACACACACACACACACACACACACGCCGCTTAGGTTGCTGTTTGATTGCAATCTGTGTCTGTGATATTGCACGCTTTTGTTGCCAGGAATTTTTTTCTTTTTCTTTTTTTTTGTTTACAATATGCTATTAATTTCTTGTAAGGGCCTGCTTCCGTTAGTTTCGAGGATGTCATGATGAAAAGATTGCATTGAAAGGTAGTGGCACGTTGCAATAAGGGTGCGCTTACAGAGAGGTGACGAGTTGCGCGGGTAGGTCGTGAAATGTGTGCTCATTCTAAATTACAATATTGGGGCGGAACGGTGAATGGCTGGTTAGCACGTCCGCCTCACAATGCAGAGGTGCAGGGTTCAATTCTGGCCTTCCTGTGTGGAGTTTGCATGATCTCTCCTGTACTTGCGTGTGTTTTCTCCGGGTACTCCGGTTTCCTCCTACATTCCAAAGACATGCATGGCAGGTTAATGGAACACTCCAAATTGTCCCTTGGTGTGAGTGTGAGCGCGGATGGTTGTTTGTCTGTGTGTGCCCTGTGATTGGCTAGCAACCGGTTCAGGGTGTCCCCCGCCGACTGCCCGAAGATGGCTGGGGTAAACTCCAGCACACCCGCGACCCTTGCGAGAATAAGCGGATTAGAAAATGGATGGATGAATGGATAGAACAAAATCCATCGATCAGTGACCGTGTTGTAAATCCTTTTACGGGGTTGCTCATAGGTTGCATTGAAATGCTTCATTCTATCTTTAAAATCCTTCATAGTTTTAAATACATTAGTTTTAGTGTACTTTTTTAAAATAAGGAGTTTGTTCATAAATCGCGTTAACCGGGTTAACAGTGGTTAAAAATGTCAATGTAATAAATAAACAGTAATAAATATCACCAATAAATAAGTTTAAATGGTTTTTTTTGCATTGAATTTAAATGGGGTTTCCACGCTTCATTCATGATGAATGAAAAGTTTGAATTGATCTACGGCAGGTTTGAGTCATAGGCTCAATCAAAGTTATTTGAACATTGGGGTTAGCTAATTGGTGAACAGTATTTACAAAGCGACAAAGCAGGAGAGCGAAATGAGTCTCACTATTTAGCAGCCTGATGTAACTCCCGCCGTTTTATATCGGCTTGTGATGTCATTAGAAAGTGCAGACAACAGCTTTGTCAGCAATTTAGCGAGCAGGAATTAAACCCTCTGAAGCGGTGCCCTTATTGTAAAGTGCTATTGATTATCAACACAATATTTCATCGCGTCCGGTGGAAGCCAGCGTCGGCGACATCATTCGTTCTATTGCACAAGCTGGTGAAAATGTGAAGAAAGAAGATTTGGTTCACGGGTGGGCTACTTCATTCCTCTGCGCAGCATTTGATTGGCGGCGATGAGCATGACACTGATGATGAACGCAATGGCGAAGGCACAGATCAGGCTCTTGCGCACACACGTGTGCTTCTCCTGTTGCGTGGGGCTCGCTGTGGGAACATCCAGACACTTTTTAGGCACTTTTACAGCGGGAGTAATGTGAGTGTGAATGTGTGCATGTACGCACTGTCGATGTCCACGTGTGACTCGGGGCTGTTGAGGTGGTTTTCCTCGGTCATGATGATGTTCTCGATGTCCTTCATGGTGAGGTGGTCCCGGAAGGTGTCGTATAGAAGACGCTTGAGCTCGTCCACCGTCAGCTTCTGCATGTCGCACTGATTGCAGGGACCAAAACACATTTGCTTCCTTAATTGCATGGAGAACATTTTTTTTTCCCCTTCTGAAAACACACATTGTAATTGGCAAATGATTTCCATCCCTGATGTGATGTGACATAAGGATGCAAGCTTGTATTTGGACCGTGTCTCTTCTTGTGCACTTGACTGACCTTCCAGAAGACAGAATCGAAGTCTGCTCCGTGGAACTTATCCGGCATTCCGGCCGCAGACAGCTTGGGACCGAGCAACGTGACAAACTCGTCAAAGTCCACCTGACCGTCTCCTGAGACCACACACGCGCAACGGACATGACGTGACTATATGTAGAATTCTAGGAAGACTGTGAGAGAGCCTCACCATCCATGTCCAGTCTCTGGATGATGACCTCCAGCTCCACCTCATTAGGCATGTAGCCCAGGGAACGCATGGCCATGCCCAGTTCCTGTTTGGAGATGAAGCCGTTGCCGTCTCGGTCAAACACTTTGAACGCCTCTCGGATTTCTGACGGAAAAAACCCCAAACATTGCTACATGTGTGTAAACAGTATGGCATGTGTGTAAACAATACCACGTGTAAATAATTACACATATGTAGAAAATAGCAAATGCTTCAAAAACACGTTTTCCCCCCAAAAAAAATGTGTAAACAACACGGAAACAATATCACCCGTGTAAATATTGCGTGTGTAAACATGACACATGGATGAACAATATCACACATGTAAACAATACCACTCATGTGTAAACAACACATGTAAATGATAAGACCTGTGTCGTGTAAACAATGACACCTGTGTACACAATGCCATACTTGTGTAATCGATAGCAAGGGTTTTATAAATAAAAAAAGTAGAAACTAATGTGTAAAATACGATAGATGCGTCAACAATACTGCTCGTATGAACACCACATATGCTAACAATACCACGTGTGTAAACAATACCACACATGCTTAAAGACCATGGATGTAAACAATGGTTTGTGTGAACAAAACAGGACGTGTGTAAACTACAAACATGTAAACAATACCGCTCAATCGCAAACAACGGTTGTAATTGCTAAGATATTTGCAAAATCAATGTGTGTAAACAATCACATTCACGCTTAAACCACACAATAAGACACTCGCGTAAACAGCGATACCTGTGTAAACAATGTGCGTCAACATCATCGTACATATGCAACCATTGCCATGTGTGTAAACAATAGGACACGTGTCAACAATGTTTAAAAAAGACTTGATAGGTAAAATGCTAATGGTTGCCATGCTAACACAGAAAACAAGCTGAAAAGACAAAAGGCACGATGACAGCTTTACAAGCATTCTTCATTTTTGTTGTGTACTATGTCAAATGAGAGTTGCCAAAACGCGAGTATGATAAATGCTGCTACGCTAGCACACAGCAAGACATCGACCCGAAATGGCTTTCGATTGTATAAAGGCCTTTATCAAGTAACGATTTGATTGATTTTTTTTCCCTCCCTCCTCCCCATTTGACTGTTTGTGTAAAAGAGAAGCTCATGTTTGATCTCAGCTCGTTGTAGCAGGCGCACACATCACGGCCAAGAAGCCAAAAAGCTGCCAGACAAGGACGCTCTAAGCACAATTGCTTACGACAGAAGGGCCGGCCGACAGTGTGGGCGTTTCATTAAGTGCCTTTTGGCAAGCGCTCCTGTTGGCTGCGCTCCGCCAACGACCTGCATCCCAATTTTCTCTTTGAAGTGATAACAAAGAGCTTCCAGCGTAAAAAGGCGGGCAGTCTTTTTGATTTAGGTGTCGTCGGCTATGTGTTTGCTTCTGACAAGAAGGAGAAGCGGGTGAAAGACTGCTATGTTACCTTGTCGCTCTATCTGGCGGCTTCACTATTTGTGATCAAAATTTAAGAATGCTACCATGTGTTTGTGTACAAGAAAAAGAAAGGTGACCAACTCTTAATCAAGAAAGAACTAATGTGGGTCTATGAAGGAGCAATTAATTAACATGTATACTTCTTTGTTAGCTACTCCACCTAACCGTCAGTTAGCTATTTGTGCATCAAAAGGCAAAATGTCGTGTGGTTGTCTAAAGGAAGTAAGACGACCAACTTTTTGTACCCAAAGGTAATTTTTATGTGCTTTTTGACAGAAAGGGGGACTGAGTGACGACATAGGCTGCTTGCTAACAGTGTCTCGCAAGAGCTGTCTGCTAGCTATTTGTGATCACAAGGTAATATGCAATATGATTGTGTAATTAAAGAACGATTACCAACTTTTGGTGAACAAAGTGCTGAGTTGGACTTTGTCAGGTGTTTGTGACAAAAAGGAGCACTGAGTGAAAATGTAGGACGTCTCCCTAGCTTGCCTCGTTAGCTGCCAGCTGGCTCTTTGTTATCAAATGGTTGCTTGTTATGCGTGTTTAAAAGTTGAACAAAGTCCACCAGCTTTTTGCGAATAAATGATTGATTTGGATCATCCGTTGATGCTGTTTTACAAGCAATTTAAAAAAGGGAAGATGCACAGTGCTACATTAGGTTCTTGTGTTAGCTGGGTTGTCTAAAGGAAGTAAGACGACCAACTTTTTGTCCCCAAAGGTAATTTTTATGTGGGTTTTTTGACAGAAAGGGGGACTGAGTGACGACATATGCTGCTTGCTCACAGTGTCTCGCAAGAGCTGTCTGCTAGCTATTTGTGATCACAAGTAATATGCAATGTGATTGTGTAATTAAAGAAAGATGACCAACTTTTGGTGAACATCTTTTGGTGAACAAAGTGCTGAGTTGGACTTTGTCAGGTGTTTGTGACAAAAAGGAGCACTGAGTGAAAATGTAGGACGTCTCCCTAGCTTGCCTCGTTAGCTGCCAGCTGGCTCTTTGTTATCAAACGGCAGATTGTTATGCGTGTTTAAAAGTTGAACAAAGTCCACCAGCTTTTTGTGAATAAATGATTGATTTGGATCATCCGTTGGTGCTGTTTTACAAGCAATTTCAAAAAGGGAAGATGCACACTGCTACATTAGGTTCTTGTGCTAGCTCCTAACCTGGCTAGTGTTGTACTCTTTTTGTAAAAGATGAGGAAAGTTGACCAACGTTTTGTCAACAGAGGACCCATTTGTAAATGTCTTTTTTTGTGCTGTTCGGCAAAAACGCAGGCCGAGTTAAGAAGCTGACCGATACGTTCACTTTTCAAACTGGCCGCCTGCGAGCTATTTGTGACCAAATGATGGCGTGCTACATTTTGTGTTCTGCGTTGTTATTTTACATTGAATTTGAATCAAACATGGCGCATTTAACCAGCAAAATGTTCAAAACAAAATATGTAGTTTTGTATTTTTGAACATCAGTTATCTTATTGCTAATGTATCCTGGGATATGCCTTAGACAGGCTAATGAAAAGTGGAATTGAATGTACGGTAATTGGAAAGCATCAAACAACTGCTACTTTAACACACGGAGCAGCGTCACATACAATTAGACTCTGTCTAATAGAGCCAACAAGCAACGTTACGCACAGGCATATTCTGTTCGCACACACAAACACACACGCAAAGTGCATCTGTCTACGTTACAGCTGGCGGCATGGCTGGAGTGTTGTTATCTCCTTTGAGCACCACCCTTGATTCAATGTCATGACCTAGTGCCAGTAACCAAATAAATCCACTCAGCACACTCTGTGGCGCCCGCCGGATTTCTGATTGGTTTTGGGGGGCTGAGAGGAGTGAATATTTAAGAAAAGAGCTGAAACCGCAATGTACAGTCGCTTCCTGATACAGACAATAACGGCCAGTTTTTATTGATTGATGTCGCAGTATGCATACGATTGTGCTCAGAGTCCTACTTGCGGAGTTCCTTACTAATATCTTGCTTTTGAAACTGTAAATGCTAATGCTAAGCTAGCGGGACAATGGAGGCGAACAACAAAAGAACAACAGAAGGACAAAAGGCTCCAAAACAAGGGTACCAAACACACTCAGACTAATTACGAGGTACAGCTGGGTAGGACACAGGGGAAACGACGGGGAGGAGTTCCGGGCGCAACCAACGACAGACGGGATTGGACTACTGTTATTCAGACTGACAGAGCAGGGTCAGACACAAGGGCAGAGGACAGAATCACAAATAAAACGGGAAGAATTTGTAGACGTAAACCAGGATCTAATGGGAAAAAAAAAAGAGACAACAATTAGCAATGTGGCGTGACGTACTAAATACACTCGCGCAAAGCGATCGCAATGTACATGGATGCCATTTAGTGAAAAGCACTGAGATTGCAATCAACTCAATTTACATGAAACGAACAAAACAAGACACGCCATCCCCCAAATCAAACCCAACAGAGGACAAAAGAAGGTTAACAATAAGGAATGTGAGCCAGAAATACGCTGAGGAACGCAGATAAGGGTGGGTAGAAAACGCATCGTCTTTAACAAATAAAAGATGAGACTGGCTAGAAGCAAAGAAAAAACTGTCATGTGTCACAATGTTAAGTACACCTGCACCTGATTCTAGTTAAAAAAAAAAATCTTAGTTTGTTTTAGCTGTAAGAGAAGCAAAAATACAGGACACACTCAGTGATTCCTTTTTTTCTACTTAATACAGAGTAGCCAGGTCTCTCACTCTGTCTAGATTTGTGTCCATTTGACTGCAGCTTCAACCGTCTTTCATAATATGAAATGTTCCTCACAGAGGATAAAGAATACATTACCATTTCTTTGAAGTAAGTTTCAAGTGACTTGCAAAGGTAGTTTTCGTACTGCCGTGCGTTTACATTTGATTTATGGCTCTGTTTTCGGTTTCTGCAAAGCTACATATGTAATAGAATGTCATAATCCATTAAGGCATCTTTTGTGTTTTGTTCCCAAAGCCGCCGCCGCAGCAGCAGCAGCGACAGTGGTGCAGGTCATTTATCACGCTTTGTTATTCATAAGAAACTCAAATATTTACTGCCAATTTCCCAGCAGACTGATGGTGTGGATAACATCCTGCAAAGCCAACACGGCTTGTGTTTGTTTTAGCTTATTTGTCGCGCTAACTTCCGTGCGAGTGCTTTTATTTCTCATCCCCACACAGGTCCGGAAGGTGACATCTGAACCGGAACTTGAAAGACTTCTGACCTTCCACGTGAGATCCAGCTGACATTTGGGCCGAGGACACGTAGGACCATAGTTCACCCACCGTGACGCTTCATGTCAACACCTGCCAAGGTCGGTTACAATAAATTCCGAAATGTCACCTTTTCATGCCTTGTGGAGTGAAATAAAACAGCTGCATGTGTTAAAAATGCATGATGTCATCAAATAAAGCACATCACCACCAAGCCTCATTATAGTCAGACGCTTTGATGACTGTTAATGAGCTAATACGGTGCTTGTCACCACGGGAATGGCCTTTTGCTGCCAAGTTGCGGCCCACATTGATAGGTGTTAAAAATTGTTTAAAAAAAACGCATAGCAATCTGTCCACTGTACAGTTTTCACACATGGGTGACTATTTCTGTCTGCTTACTTTGTTAACTGCTTCCTGTGTGTTAACACGATGACTACAGCAATTTAAAAAAAAAAAAAAAAAAAAAAGAAAAACAACTACTAGACCTTCCAAAGCCGTAATTTTGACGTCTAGCGCTCTGGCAATGTCATCGCCTAAAATGATAAGTACTTGCTGCTTGAGTAGCTAACACAGATATTTTGGTTTTGTCAAACTCGGTTGTATCTTTTATAGAACGTTGTTTGAAGGTCTATCAGTAGCGGAACATCTTTACTAGTTTCCATTACCCGAGCTGTATGTTAGCATTAAGCTAGTGGACTATGGTTAGATTAGCATTAATACATTTACACACACATACATGTACTGTACATATGTTTTGGTTTTTTTTTCTTTTCACACACACTTCTAAATGGAGTCTTCTGTTACGATGCAGCTTGTTATTTGCGGGTTTTGGCACCGCAAGTGGCCCTATTTGGACAAGCATCTGCTCCAATATCCTGGACAGCAGTCATCCATTAAGAGCTTTCAGGGCTGATTCATGATTGTTGACTTATTGCACCCGGAGGCTTTTGCATCATTTCTTTAACTGAGAGACACTCCGAGTTTTGACACCATGACAGATTTATTTATTTACTTATTTTAGATGTGAGAGACACACACAAACGGCCAAGTGTGTGTTTACTGGGCTCATGTTTGTTGTAGTGCCCAGGCTGACCTGTAAGAGGCAGTACGTCACCACAGGGCATCAAGACTGCCAGGAAATACAAAAGAGGAAGAAGAAGAAGCAAGGCCGGTAAATAAGAAATACTTGTTGGCCTTGCTATTTCTTTTCTAAGGAAAATACTTTTTTTTTAAAGAAAAATATGGACTTTTTCAAGAAAAAAATGCATTATAGCAAGGAAAAAAGTATTTTTTGGGGGGGAAAAGTTGATGGTTTATATTACAAAATTAATTGAAATTTCAAGAGGATAAAGCACTTCCCCCTCAATCCCCCTATGGAAAAAAGTTGCTACGTTTATTTGGGATTACATTTTCGTTGCAATCTTTTCTTGTACATGTGATCTGACATTGATTGGTAACCAGTCCTTCTGTTTTTTGGACACGAAACAAATTCTGCAATTCCTTTGTGTGCTATCATGAAGCTCGTGCTAAAGTGTGCTTTTGCGCAGATTCATAGTTGTCATCTCATGAAAATAGTTACGCATATCGCCCATCTGGATGTGTGGGCCATATGCCTTGGTGCATCTATAACTAGAAATTAATTAGGGGGAATAATTAAGCCGGGTCGAGCAAGCGGAGGAACTTTAAAATGGAGCCGTGATGAAAGCGTTTGGGCTGAGCGAGAACACAGTAGACAAAATTTGTCATGACGTACCCTCCCAGCACTTACTCAACTCCGTACAAAATGGAGCCATTCAAAACTAAGTCCCACAAAAAGGCTTTCAGATGAGGATTGTGCGAAAGCAAGGATTTGTTCCAATTTCCCTGGTCCTCTTTGGAGTTTTTTTTAGTCGGTGTACAAATGATCAATTATTGCCTCAAACTGCACAATTTTCTTTTTGCGGCGAATGTATGTCGCTGCTGCAGAGAGCAGATGTCATTTAATGCCGACGCAGCCCAGCTCCACACAAGAAGAAGAAGAAATGCAAAAGCCCTTCACATCAAAGGATAAATCTGATTTCAGGTCAGTTCCTTTCCTTTTTTTTTTTCCCCCCAGTCTGCTGGCTTCTCTCCAAAAATCTTCGCCATCTGCACTTTCTCCTTCACTCCAGCAAGAAGAATTGTTGTACAAATCTTACTGCATTGTTTCTTTTTGGCCATTCGCCATAGAAAACACAATGCATCAGAGAGAAAAAAAAACTACCCCTAAAACAAATACATTACAAGTATGGCAGAGAGGAGTGGATTTAATAGCAATTCGTCTTATGATGAAACATACTCTTTAAGTATTTTGACGCCTCAAAACCTTACAATTTGCTTCACTTTTTTGGAGGGAGATGCGAGGCCCCCGGTGCGGTACGAACAACTGCGGCGACCTATCATTGCAGCGCATTAACATGATAGAGGAGTCAAACTAAATGTCACTCGCCACCACCAGTAATTCTATACGCTTCGGTATTCGTAGCAACATGCATCACTTCACAGCCCAGGGTACCATGCCGTACATACATATGATGTACTTACTCCATAGATGCTTGCTCGTGTCACACGGGTTCGTCCCAATTCATATGAACGGACAGCGCTCAATATGTGATCATGAGGTACACCAGCACAGTCAACAATATCGTTTATCAAATTAAGCTATCTCAATTCCAAAATGTTCAACCAAAACAAATAATGTTGTTTAGCTTGATGCTATTATGTAATGTGAAATGCCATAGACCGGCTAGTAAAAATTAGCATCAAATTTAAGGGGAATGACAAAACTTTGGACACACATGGAGCAGACACACATACAAATGTGCAAACGCTCGTTCGTCTGTTTGTGAACTGTGATTGGGCGGCGACCAGTCCAGGGCCACTCTCACCAAGACTCATGACAATTATCCATACACTGCAGGTGTCAACGTGAGTGTCAATGACCGTTTGCCTTTCTGTCACCTCCGATTGATTGGCGAACAGTCTCGGGTGTGCCCCGCTTCTCTCGCCAAGTTAGCTTAGGTGAAGTGAAGAAGACCAACTTAAACCTCGGGTGAACCAGATGGTGACCAGTCCAGGGTGTATTCCGCTTATTTTACAGCGCACCATCATCAAAAGTATTCCAACTATAAAGAAAAAAAAAAGTACATTACTTTTTTTCTGTCAACGGCCCAAACAACTTGGGCGAAGGGAAGCAGGTTTTCGTGGTAATCAAACATTAGACTAAATTCATTTATTATCACTTTTTTCCACCATCAGTTAACCTACAACTCAACTGAAAAAAAATGAGAGGGAAAGCAAAAACAAATAACGCACGTAAGATGGTTGCATAAGTGCACACACCCGCTTACGAATGGGGCTGTGGCTCATGTTAAATGTGTTGCCATAAACAGGTTTACAACGGTAGACATGGCCAAGTGGTTAAGATCGTCACCTGCCACCAGCGGGGGGGGGGACCTGGTTCGAATACCAGCCCCCCCAGACAGACTGTTGCGGTGTCCTTGAGCAAGGCACTGAGACCCCAAGTGGCTCCCTGGGTACATAAGCATCATCGTTTCTTCTTCAAATGGTGGTCAGAACACAACTGTCATTTCAAGTGCCTCTGATTAACTCCAAATAAATTAAAACACTATGATTGGAACTGATGACAGAGAAGTCTTTTTTTTTTTTTTTTTAATATTTGAATGAAGATGGAAAAAAGAGCTGTAGCATTCAGGGCTATTACTTCATTTATGGCAAAAGGGCAAGTGCTTGAGCACGACTTGGGGTCGATGCGTGCACGTGCCTGACCGGTCTACCCTAATGCTGTGGCAAATTACATTTAGTATAATTTCTATGTAGCCAGTTGAAACAGAAGTTCAAAACAATTGACACACGGAGCCAATGCTTTACTTTTTTACTTACAGTACTACGGTTGAATCCGTTATTTCTCTTTTTAGCTGAGTATTTTTTTCCAAGTAGTAGAAGTATCTGTGCTCAACGTGCAAACTTTTGCCACTTCTGATCCTGACAATGAATAATATTGTCGTTGGATAATACGAGAATACTTTCGGACTCACCCTCCAGCTCATCCTCGGGGAGACTGACGGGGGTCCGGTAGGTGAGGACATCCGGGATGGTGCACAGCCCCTTGTACATGAACCTGGTGGTCACGGCGCGCACTGGCATCTCTGCGTCGAGGAGACCGAGCTGACCGCCGGGTGAAGATCCTCATGCAGCCCCGCAGCCCAAAGCTCTTCTTCCCCTGAACCCTTCCTGGGTTCTCCACGTCCAAACCCGAAGAAAATCCTCCTTTTCTTTCCCCTGCTTTTCTCCTAGTGCAACTTCAGCGCTCCTCTTGCATGATTTCTTGTTGCAGAGTATTTGATGACAGGATCAGCTGGTGCAACACCGCAGCCTTGGTGGATGTCTGCAAAAACACGACGACGAGAGGGGGAAAAAAAAACAAAAAAAGAAGACGCTCACATTGTGGTGTTTGCGGTGCACGCGGCTTTTTGCTTGGCGTGCCAACTACTTTCCATCTCCTCGGTGCAGCATGAACGCGCCTTGAAATGGTCACGGTGAGGAGAGAATGATTCGCAAGAGAGGCAGGAAGAAAGGAAGCAGCATCTTGAGACGTTTCCAGGGATTCCTGGGTGACCCCCTTCTCTTCTCTTCTCTTCTCCGCACACACAGTCACTGAGTGCCACTCACCCACCCACTCTCTCTCTTTCTCTCTCTCTCTCTTTACACACACACACAAACACGCAGACTGATATCCACAAAACACACATTTATAAACACACTCACTACCCCAAACATGCACGCGCTGAACCACATACATATGCATCATACGCACACATACCATGAAACACACTTATACACACCATGACACACACTTATACACACAAACATGTTCAAACACCAATGACAACACGCATACATTAAATATATACTGTATTTGTGTGTGGATATACATACCGTAATTTCTGGACTATAGACCGCACCTGATTATAAGCCGCACCACTACATTTTTAAAGGAAAAAAATATTTTGTACACACATATAAGCCGCACTTGTGTATAAGCCGCAGGTGCCCATATTGTAACATGAGATATTTACAAAGAAAGACGGTACACAGGCGGCCGTTAGAAAAGTCTTTATATAAGCCGCTTCATGAAATAAGCCGCAGAGTTGAAAGCGTGTGACAAAAGTCACGGCTTATAGTCCGGAAATTACGGTATATATATATATATATATCTATATATGAGCTGGATAGCTCAGTTGGTAAGGCATCGGTTTGGCGTACGGGAGACGGTGGTTCGAATCCCGCCTGGGGCAAAAATGAGCACATAACACCATCCAGTGTGGGTCCTTGGGCAAGATCCTTCACGCTATGCCTACCTCATACAATGATGAGAGACAATAAAATGAATGACATGCCGGCTCAGACGTCGCCCGGCCAAACAAGGTCTGCGTCAGGTGCTGGGGAACCAGAGCACCTTGATGAAAAATGGGCTACTGGAACAAAGCGGAGATGGGCGAGATGCGATAACATGGCTCTGTTGGAATGCTACTACTCAAGCAACCCTAGTCAGAGGGGTTACATGCAGAGAATGCGGGCTGAATGGTTACTTCGAAACCCACAGTCACGGTTGACCACGAAACAACTAGTAGCTCAGTGTTCCAACGTCCACAAACGGCAATTGCTGTGAAGGCTGCCAGATCAGAGCAGGAGGTCATACCAGAGATTGGGAGGCAAGCCCCAATGAATGCAGATGATGAGA